TCAAAGGAGGTTAAAAGTCAATCGGTTACCTACTCATTAAACGGTCTGTATAACCGTAGAATCATGTGTCTTGCCCATGACTCAGCTGGCCGCAGGCACGACAAGCCACGCCTCCGCTAGCTTTTTTTATAAACACCTTTCTACAAAATTAAATTTACATGTGTAAACTATGCTATTAGTACTTCTGCCATGAATGTTAAAATGAATATCCTCACTGATCTTGAATGTCAGCAAACAATGGAATATGTGGGTTAGCTTTAATTGGTGAAAGTATATTAATATTGACACTGAGGTGACTTCAGCAAGTCATGATATCATTGAATTAAAAGCCACGAGTTCAAACACACCTGACGGAAGTCTTTAGAGGTTTGGTATTTGTATTCAGACACCACATTATGATGATAAGTTTAAGCAATTTTGATGCTAAGTAGTATTAGGATGAAGAACATATTTGATCTGCATAACAATTGTAATAGCCCTAAAAAAAACTTTCGTTAAAATAAATAAAATGATTTAATCGATGCCAACTTCTTAAAACTCAATGCAATACCTGTTCACCTCATTTCGAATGTTGACCTAATGATTTTAAGTATCTATTAAAAAATATAATTACACTTATAAGAAGACGAGTTACATATTTTGATTTAGGAACTGTTTCGACAAATATCTGGTTTTTTTAATTCAAAATTACCTGCCGAAAAGTTGTTTAAACTCATTTCGGACCGGGATACGGGGTAATGACAAGGGTTGACTGAATTGCCCGCGTGCTAATAAGCAAGACGGACGGTTTTTACAGTTAAAACGGACGGTTTTCTCAAACCAGTACCCAGATGACGCAAATCTCAGTCCTGAGGGTTCCGTAATAAATGCAAAGTTGTGGACGGTAATGTTGGCGAAAATAAGACGTAAAACAACATTAATGAAATCGTGTCAGTGCCTTTTTTACCGTCGGCAACTACAAATAAAGTAATCATATTATTAGATTTAGTAAACATCATGTCAAGTATGTGATACATCAACTTTGATTAGTCAGACTCTTCTTGAGTCGTCTGTTACAAAAAAAGTATCCATTCTTATACCGTTATTGTCTATGCCGTAATTTTGTGTTCGATTTTCAAAAGACACGGAACAGTACTTATTTTTTTTAATGAAAGGTACAGTTATTAGTATTTAGTGAAACCTTTTCACGGTGTTTTGGTTTTAGTGATGTTTTCAATAACTTCATACAATCTGAAATAACTGTTAACATCAGATAACTGGATGTGTGCTTTATGTGTGAGTTGTGCATTATAGCAGAACGCATGTGTGTGTGTTTGTCCCGTACCTTTGCCTCTTTGAGGGATATGTTTTATTACGTACGTCTGACCCTTAATTTGTACTCCATCTTCTTGGCATTAACAGTACTGTAAAATATTGTTGCACCATAAATTTTTAATTCATACTTAGTTGTTACTTCACTCAAGTTTCAAATAACACAATAAACTTTCTTTAAGTGTTCCATTAGGTATGCAACAATTTCTTATATCGTTTGGTTAATAACAAACTTATTTTTTTATTAAACGTCATAAGTTTACTTTAACTTTATGGTTCAATGGTGTAATAGGTTTTTTTTAAATATCAAATTAATAAAATAATCTATTTTACACTGAGTTACGGTGACAGAGACCCCTATTCTCTAGTTCTCTTACATGTGCAAACAATGATTCCTGAAGCGTTAAATATAAACCTTTTAGATATCACAGCAACCTTATAACAGATAATATTTTCGAAGTCGACTCACTTGAATGAATATTGTTGAGGTAGGTCTTTATTGAAATTAAAATTACTCCTGACTAATAATGTGAATGCTAAAATATGTTTGTTTCGTGATTCGTTTTTTTACGATTTCACTGTTTATCTTTTCAACCGATCTTTATACAAATATGTATTTTTTGGCGAATGAAAGTTACCTTTCATTCACAAAACAAAACCGAGGTCGAAAAATAATCTACATTCACGCGTTCAAAGGCTAAATACAAAACCCCACTACGATTATAAGAAAAGCAGTAACAAAAAATACCTACTCGTACTCAACGTCAGGGTGCAGTTAGCATTACAATATCCATAAAAGAATTCCTCATTGCCATAATATTGGTTATAAAAATTAAATTTCCAAACAGTCTTGAGCAAGCTCATACAGCACAGTTTTTATCATTTAGTACTCATTCACGCACGCTTTTTTAACATTAATTACGCAACAAATATGTATAAAATCTTGTTCAAAATTATCCTGGGTATCGACCGCCGTAACGTCTTCTAATTACATATTCAATCTACGGATTTTAAGAACCCATAATTTAAGAAGGATTACATCACAAAAAATCGTCTTCATTTCGCCACTGTATTATAAATTTACATAACGCATTCGAATAAGTGTCCTATAGGGTCCCAAAGTACAATACGTGTGACCTTTATTTATTTCGTCACACTTTCTTAGTGATTACATAACAACCCTTTTATTTAGGCTTATTAAGAAATATTTAGGTACGTTGTTTTATCCTAAATAAAGATTACTTCGATTGGACAACGAAATGTACACAATTTGTTCACTTATCACCGAATTTTTAACACAGTCGTTATTATACAAACAAAAATTCTAGTTTATTGACATAATTATTTAAGTATATACTAAGTAATCCTTGATTATTTTTAAATTTAATTTTTTTAAACCAAACAATAAGCAATCAACTCAATTGTGAATAAATACGGAAATCATAAAATTTAAGCAAATTCGTTTTAAGAACATCAAGTGTAATATTTGTTTAAACGGCTGACTTCGTTAGCATAGTTATGAATATAAAAGTTCTTTAAAATATTTATCAAAAAACATGTGAAAATGAAAATAAATTTATTTGAAGAAGATCTTGGTGACGTTAGTAGCCAATAAATTTGTATTGACATAATTACGTTTACATATCAAGCGTAATTAAACATAACGGTACTAGGTAATACATATTTTGTTTTCCAAGCTCATTGCTTTTTCCTCTTCATTTTACAAGGCTAATCGATATTATTTTTATTATTATATTATTTCTGGCTTCTTTCGGCAAGATCTTCAACTGCTCTGCCGTGGCTCTATGAATCTCGGAATAGTTCGAAAGGTAATAAGCAATAGACAGATGCTACCAAAAAATTATATCGAGACGTGAAAGACAGGTACGCACATGCTCACTGCTTTACTGGTGTGTGCAGGCATGGCTGTAGAAATGATAGCAGGCATTTAGAAGAGTTTAATAACTCTATAAATGTTCCAGCGGCCATAGACTAATTACGTACTTGATATGTTTTTTAGGAGAAAGAGTGGTATACAAACTATGGAGTTAATTGTAGTTACAATAATGACAAGTTTTGTGTAAGCCTTGTAAACATTAGCAGACTTGGGTTTAATTGTAAGCCAATTTTAGACCACATTACATTACATTGATGCCGCACACTGACCTACTACAAAATTAAAGCCTACTTACGTAATTACTTACTTATTTTTATTTTAATATTCATTTTTATGACGCCGCCGTCGCGTCGCGTCACCGTGTTATAAAACATGCAGCCTAAAATTAATTTCACATATTTTTGATATCGCGTCGTAAAACATTAATTTCTTCTTAAACAAAGACAAATGAATAGTTTGAAATATTTAATAGTAAACCTAAGCTTATAATAGTAAGCTTTATAAAGCCTACCTATGGTCACACAGACCTCGTTTTTATAGCCCCCTATTAGGTGCGTTACCTTACGTTACGTAAATGGAACTGAAATTATAATTATTCGCAACCTCTTCGGGGATTGACGTGAGTGTTTGTTGTTGAATATGTTTCTTGGCTAGTAGGTACTGCTACTTCCAAGCTTACACTGCTGAGGTTGGATTATATTGCTTTTTGTATTTATAAATTTGTACCTACAATTTTCAATTAATAATTCGGTTCTGAAAAAGGTTTGTTCATAGTCCAAAATGAGATTGCATAGAATTTCACCGGCCATTATACCTGTTGAACCCTGGTAATCTGCCTTCAGGAAAAGGAGATTAATTAGGACAAGGACTACCGGTAGCGCCAGGGAACTGGCTATGACTTCATATTGTCCTAGCAGGAGAATAATTACAAATACTCAGGATTTCCTTCTTACTTTATACTCGAACCTTTTTTAGCACACCGGTATATACTATGCAGTTTTAGGTTTAATTATAAAAACGATAAAGCGCAAAGCCTTAAAAGCGCTCCAAAATATGTTTTTCATGCAACTGATAGCAAAACAAAGTCAGTTCAGCCTCGGTGTTACATCACCTCAATGAGGTTAGGGTCGCGTTGATCCTTTTGTCCTCTCGAGCTAATAGGTGTGTATAAGTAACGTCGCGAATCAATTCTTCACTTAGTTAACTGATGTGTACTGAATATTAATAGTCTCTTTATAGAGAATATTTTACATAAAACTTCTTGAAGGTTTACAAATAGACAAAGATGATTATTAAGTTTACATTTTCAATGTTTGTTTATGGGACACATATCTCTTACAAATTAGGTACTTTTACGTAAGTTACCGCTACAATAACCGTAAGTAGTTAGTAATAAAGTATTTATATAGGTTATTTTGATTAATTTCAACTAACCAACTTAGTTGGAACGGTTAACTGAGAGTTTGATAGATGACTAGTAATGTGATAGAGAAGACAAGAGATAAAAATAATCCGTTACTAGTACTCTGATCTAGCGATCTTTTCTTCTGTTCTTTTCTTTAAAAAAAAACAGAATATACTATAATATTTTATCTTAGACTGTTTTTACGATTTTCTTTGTCCATTATTTTACTTAAGATTTATAACATTAATTCTCTCTTTAAAAATAAAATAGACACGTTAATCCTGACTTTGTACATTACTCCTGGAACATCATTGTGTTTAAACGTGTTTTATGTGAAAAATTGTCATTAGTCCAGTATGTATTAATAAACCTTTTTTCATTTTACAGAATAGAAGCATCTCGACTATCCGTTCTTGTCGGTGAATACGACGTCAACGCTACGAGATCTGAAGGTTACGAAGTAGTACATGTGGTGCAGCATCCAGACTTCAACAAATACACCTATGACTATGATATTGCAGTGTTAAGACTGGCAGTGCCGCTGCCAGATAGACTATACAGGCCTGCGTGCTTACCAGGTACACAACATATAGATTAATTTAAGATTATTAGATTTTGTTAAAGGACCCAGACTGCTACGCCATAGGTCGTCTGTCCGATTTCCAGAAATAATTGTGATGAGCAAAATCATTTTGTTCCATTTGTGAGATGTGTGAAGAATGGAGACCCTGGCTTCAGCACTCGATAATATTACTTACCCTGAAGATTCTCGGAGCCATTGTTTTGTTTAAGTTCGTTCAATTCTGACATATCGTATTCGACATTACAAGTGGTACTTAAGCTTTCCGTTTCGTTAAGCCTTCCTTTTCTGCACTTTCTGGTGTCTAGACCCTCCCTCACAACCCTCCAAGAAATCCCTCACAACGTAGGCATTCGGTATGCCTACGTTGTGAGGGATTTCTTGAATGGGATTCTCTTCGTAAACTGTACTTTGTAGGGATTCAAACGAATAGATTTCTTGAAATTTTTTAAAACGTTAATATCTCGTCCGGTTACAGATGTTGATGACTACAGCGGTCTTGAAGGAGGACACGCAATTGTCTCTGGTTGGGGCAGTACCGTAGAAAAAGGACCAGCATCCAATATACCGATGAAAGTAAGAAAGAAAAATATTTAATTATAAAAGGAGGCATGTTTATCCTGTTGCAATTTTGGCACGCTGACTCCACCACCTGATTTTATGCAACTAAAATGAAGAACAAGAACACAAACAACTTGATAGTATCTCAGCTATTTCCAGAGTTATTTTTGTCATTATTTCGTTGGTAGCAGTGTCGAATGAATAGCCAGCATTGCGCTGTAGTTGCATGAATTTAGTTTGTCCTAGACAACCTCAGCTCCTGGACACCTTTGATGACAGAAGTAAAGTATATGAATAGAACAAGTCTACTTCATAGAGGATTTGCAAAATACCAAATACTTCAATTACGTAAAATAAATTTTGTTATCTTCGTTAGATACACTTAAATTTGAAGAATATTTTTGGTTGAACAGTCGTTACTTTGTACACTAGTGGGTACGAATTCAATAATAATTATACAAAAAACAAAAAAAAAAACAGTGGCGCTCCGGGAATGCCAACAGAAGTGAAAACTTAAAAAAAATCCTTTTTTTTATTAAAACAATTTTTTTAGTTTTTTTCGCTTAGAAAAGTTCCGACAATATGTATCTATGTTGTACGTATATACATCATATCTGTTTCTATTATATATAGGTATATTATCAATGTATTTCAACCCAAACTCAACTCTAGTGTAAACGGTCCCAATATATGTAGATATGTGTGGCCTATATACAGAGGTGTCGGTAACGGTAACAGTGTCGCGAGTTCAATGGTTTTTTCCCATCTCAAAAAATAAATTATTTTGTTTGTTGTTCAAAAATGCCCAACGCGCCTAAAGAAGGTTTCACTTCAAAAAATTAATCCAATCGGACTTGTAATGTCCGAGGCAAACGCATTTAGCAAAAAGATCATTCACTTCAGTTTAAAAATATGGCTATAACCTGATCTTTTGTTAAAGGCTGGCGTACAAATATGGGCCCAAGAGGAATGTTCAGGTGCTGGGTATGGCCGAAGAAAAGTGACTCCACGAATGTTGTGTGCCAACGCGCCCGACCGAGACTCGTGTACTGGTGACTCTGGAGGTCCTCTTTTGGTATCCCAACCACACTTTACTCTTGTCGGTAAGTATAATGTATGTAATGCTCTCAGAGGAATAATATTATTCGCGTATTTCGAATACGAAATTCAGAATAAGTGGGAACAATTAAATGAGTATAATTTGATATAATAATGATAACTATTACAGTATTTGTATTGTAGGTACTTTTATAAGAAAAAATTTTTTATTCAAGTTTAGTATCAGATCTTTGGCAGATGCACTATGATACAAAAACGTTGGTGATGAAATAAAAAAGGTTTATTCTTGTTTAAGGTTTTAAGAAAACAATGTTATCGTTCAAGTTTATTACGATAGACTCCGATTTCGGATCATTGTGAACTTAACAGTATGTATACATTACCTCTACATCAGTACTGACTAAAAGCCTCAAGGACATTGATAGGTTCTGGAAGATTTCAGGCAGTTCAGTCACCACTGTATCACCATAAGCCTATCCACCTTCCACGGTAGCAAACAATAAACCTAAAATAAAATAATACTAATAATATCTTCTTTATTTTTCTTTTATTTCATAGGAATCGTCTCATGGGGCCGAGGCTGTGCTAGGCCAGGATACCCAGGGGTGTATGCTCGTGTGGACCGCTTCCTGCCGTTTCTTCGAGTAGCTCTACGTCATGCCTGCACATGCCAACCTCCAACTTTTGGTTAACCATTTTGTAGAATCAGCAGTGCATGCAATAACAAGGTTTTATCCAAAATATGAAGTCCTAATTCGTACGAGAGATAAAAACAGATTTAAAACTAGGTGATAACGCTTCCAATGATAAGGACTGATATATTGGCCTCATTCATCGCCACAGACGGCCTAAGATCGTAAAAACCCTAAATTATGTTGATAAGATTTTGATTCCTTCCCACAGCGCCCCGGCGTGAAATAAAATCGTGCGTACCTACGATTAATACGGTATAGATATATTATGCATAAGTAAGATAACTTAAACAACATTATGAGTTTCCTCTTAATATAATATACAATTCAGATGACCTAATCTGGTGCTAATTTCGATTTAAGGGTAGAATATAATTTTAGTGAGATTGAAATTATAATGTTGTGTGATAAATCTTACAACACTATACACTGAACGGTCATTATGTACCTATCAGAGGTAAAGCCAGGTACTTGCATCGATAGTAAAAAAAAAACGATTTAGACTGGTTAATTATTATTGACCAGAATGATATGACCGCTGTACTTTTTAACTTATTTGGTCTTACTCTATAATACAAAGTAAAAATTATAACTTTTTATAATAAACCTGACTCCAGGATTTTTGTATATGTTCTGATAAAATACCCGATTTGTACTACTAAAAATCTTATTATCAAAGTTTTCATTTTAAAAAATATTATAAATAATAATCCAGCAACTATCATACTCTTTGTATGTAAATTAACTTACGCACGCATCAGTATTAAAAGTAATTCTAAGTACATATAGAATTTTATTATAAACTTAAAATAAGTTATGGCTGTGATTACTTCTATATTAGTTAAGTAATTAACAAACAAGACAAGAAATGTTATATTTTTATACTAATAATAACTGTTGTGTTCAAATTACGATGTAATTTACATAAAATGTTTAATTAAAAACGCTTTGGAGATAGTTTGTCATATTATTTTTAACCCAGTGTAACATGTTAGTAAGCTATATCTTTTTAAGGGAAGGTACTTAAATGAACTATGCACAAAGGACTTGTCCAGAAATAGTTTTTTATTCACCAAATATTTTTGGACAGACTTCATGAGAACTAAAATTATAATTTATAAAATGAAATTTTAAATTACTGCAATTTTGATTAAACATAGTTTTTACTTTGGCATATTTTTAAACCGAATACGAACAAAACTGTTGCCGATGACCGATTCAAATAAAATGACCGGGCACGTTCCAGCCTGCAGATATTAAAATTTCAAAATAATAAAAATCTCATTTTATAGATCTCAATTAGCCCTTTCGACCTACGTTAATTAATTTATAAGCCCGTTTTTCGTTTTCCCAGGAAATATAGAAATATAATTTTCAATTTTCCTCTACTTAAAATAGCCATATCCCTTTGAAAAATGATTATTTTTTACTCTACCGAGCGTGAAGAAATTGCCCTTGCGCTAATTTAATTTGCCCGCGTGCTAATTCTTCAAAATATTCAAAAATTATTATTGTAAACAATAAAAAACCGTCGTGGCATTTCCAAGCCAATTATTTGCTCATTGCGCATGCGCGACAGAATAAAGGTGATACTCACATCATCAACTGCAGATCAGCTGATGCTACACGCACGGAAGGACTTTAAAAGTTATTATATTACTGTTTCGGGAAGTTTTTCAGTACTATTGGATTCATTATTATGTGCCTTTGGTAGTTCGATGTTTCTTTACTCTTATTTCTAGGGAGTAGTCAGTAGTTTAAGTGTACAAATCATGTACACTTAGTGCAGATTTTCCATTGCAAAGCTGAGCTCTACGAAAACGTTTTTTCGACGACTTTCTATTAAGCGTTTCAAGACTTTACAAAGTAAACTTCCAAGCCAAGAGGAAGCAGCTAACTATTTTAATAGGTGTTATTGACTAGTCACGGAATCATGGAGATTTCATCTTTCTGCTGATTTGCTCCAAAATTATATAGTACATACGTGTTGATTGGGCCTGTTTAAGCATACATACATTTTTAAACAAACAAAGAAATGTAAATATTTATTAATAAAATAGCTATGTTTTTTGGTTTATTTCTTTGTTTCAATTCTTGAAGATTTAATTATAAATTTACACATACACATCAAACTACCAAAGGCACATACAAGTTTTTCAGTACTATTGGATTCATTAAATCCAATAGTACTGAAAAACTTCCCGAAACAGTAATATAATAACTTTTAAAGTCCTTCCGTGCGTGTAGCATCAGCTGATCTTCAATTGACGATGTGAGTATCACCTTTATTCTGTCGATTGAGATCTATAAAATGAGATATTTTTTATTTTGAAATTTTAATATCTGCAGGCTGGAACGTGCCCGGTAATAAAATGACAAGTTTGACAATAGTCGCTGTCCGCCGATGCGTTAAAAATGCGTTTTACGTGACATTATGGATGACGATTATCTTTACTTCAGCCGACAGCGGCACAGTTTTGCCATATATAAAAACAAATGCTACGAAGAATTGTAAGATTTCTACAAATTGTAACAAACGGCAATAATAACAAAACTATTTTCCTTATTAATCAATTATTTATTTTAAGAATATAATTATAATTTCTATTCGTATATAATTAGGCAAGAGTTCCGACTTATTCGAGTGTACACAACGCAATTAATTCACCAAATGAGCGGGACAGGAATTTATAGTCATGGTTTGACAGTAGGATGTGACGTCTTCTTCTTTATCCTCGCCCTATCCCATTTTAATTGGGGTCGGCTCTCCTAATCAATCTTCGCCAGGACGTTCTGTCCTGGGTCGTCTGCGGATCTATTTGGGCCGTTTGCAGATCTTTTTTTATGACTGATTGCCATGTTAAACGGGGTCTTCCTCGTCCTCTTGGTCCGGTTTTAATTTCAAGAACCTCTCTTGGTCCATGTGATCTTCTGGCCGCCTCATGACATGCCCGTACCACCTCAGTCTACTCTCCAGCAGCTTTTCTGGGATTGGCCTGACTCTAAAAGTGCCGCGGATGTGCTCATTCCTCACTTTGTCCAAGCGCGTGACGCCACCAGACCATCTGAGCATTTTCATCTCGGCGACATGCATCTGGTGTACTTGCTGCTTCTTGAGCGGCCAGCATTCCGAGCCGTACATTAGGGCTGGTCTTACGGCAGTTTTGTAGATTTTACCTTTGACTGGTACAGGCATTCTAGAGTCACACAGCACACCCGTTAGCTCCCTCCACTTCATCCAGCCAGTGTTGACGCGGTTGGAGACGTCGAGCTCTATGGTGCCGTTGCTCGACAGGATAGAGCCAAGGTATTTAAAGAACTCTACCCTATTGAGTGGGGTGTTCTGGAGGTGTATGGTGCCATGTGTTGAGTTGGAGAAGTTACAGTGCATATACTCAGTCTTCTGTCTGCTGACTCTCAGGCCAGCATTTTCCAAAGCACTGGGCAATTGTTCTAGCGTGATCTGTAACTCCTCCACATCTTCACTAATGAGGGCTATGTCATCCGCGTACAAGATGTTCCAAGGGGGCTTTTTCTGCAGGTCAGCTGGATATGGTTCATCACTAAGTTAAAAAGTAGTGGGCTAAAGAGCTGACCCTTGATGCACGCCGACTTTCCACCGTCGAATTGGTCACTAAGACCAGCGGGGCTGCGCACCTTAGTTTTCACCTCCCTGTACATGTCCGTCACCAGTTGGACGAGCCATTCTGGCACGTTTTGAGCTCGCAGAGACTGCCAGATGAGATCTCTGGGGACGCGGTCGAAGGCCTTTTCTAGATCTATGAAGACCATATGTAGATCTTGCTGACTCTCCCTTCTCTTCTCCATCAGAACTCGTATTGAGTGGATGGCGTCGATGGTAGACTTACCAGTGACAAAGCCACACTGATTCTCAGTCACACTGGTGATTAAATGAAGCCGTTTGCTAATTACTCTTTCCCAGATTTTAAGGGTGTGGGATATTAATTTGATGGCTCTATAGTTTTCGCATAGTCTTATGTCACCCTTATTTTTATAAAATGGCACTAAAAAGCTGTCGCGCCATTCATCTGGTATCCCATCTTTGAGAATCCGGTTGAAGAGGTGGGTGAGAAAGGATACTCCGTGAGTTCCCAATTTTTTCCAGAGCTCGGCAGGTATGTCATCGGGCCCAGTGGCCTTGTTATTTGCCATGGCTTTGATGGACGCTCTGACTTCGTCTGGAGTGACAGCGAAAATTGGGCCTTCGGTGGGTGGTGTTTTGATGAGTTCTTCGCTCGGGTAGGCTTCATTTAGTAAGTGAGAGTAATACTCTTCCCATCTCTTGCAAATATCTGCGTTGCTTGTAAGTAGCACACCCTGCTCATTCTTGATGTACTTAACTGTTTTGTTATCTCTCGTGTTATTATGGCGTTGCTTTGCTATCTTGAAGAGTTCCCTGCCGTCCTTTGTATTATGTAGCCTCGCGTAGAAGTCTTCTGCGGATATAGCTTTCGCTTGCGCCACAGCTCTCTTGGCTTCATTCTTAGCAGATCTGTATGCTTCGCGATCTGCGTCTTCTTTGCTATTTTGCCAAGTCTTGAAAAGGGTTTTCTTCAGTTCTAGCTTTTGTTTGACATCATCTGTCCACCAGTTAGTATTCTTGTTACCACAGACTGCTCCTTTTGATACTCCCAAATGCTTTGACGCTAATTGGATACAGTTGGTTCGAAAGCGAGTCCAGATTATATCGGCAGTGCCTTGTGGTTGGTTTTCCTCTAGGTGCGCCACGAGGTCTGAGCAGAGTTTCTGCCCTTCTTCTCTTGCTAGTTTATGCCAGTTTATTTTTGGTGCCCTTTTGTCTTTTCTCACTTTTATTGGTCTTGGCATGATATAGTCTGCGACTAAGAGTCGGTGCTGCGATGTGAGAGGCTCCCCTGGTATCACTTTGCAGTCTCGAAAGGTTTTAAGAAGCGGTCGGTCCGCCATTATATAGTCGATTTGGGTGCTTTTGCCTCCGCTTTTATATGTGATGAGATGTTCGTGCGGCTTTGAGAAGAAGGAGTTAATAATAGCAAGGTCATATGTTGCGGCGAACTGCAGAATATCTTTGCCTTGAGGGTTGGTTGTGCCGTATCCGTATCCTCCGTGCACTCTCGCGTTGACAGGTGATTTTTGTCCTATATGCCCATTAAAGTCTCCCAGGATGTATTTGGTTTCAGTAGTGGGTATTGACTGCATTAGGTCGTCCAGGTCGTTCCAAAAGATCTCTTTTTCAGATGTTGAGCACCCAGATTGTGGTGCATACGCTGATACAACATTCATGCATGGCTGGTTATCGAGGGCAAATTTGATTGCCATAAGCCTGTCGCTTACGCGGTTGACTTCCACTACGCGCTCCTGCAGGTCTTGGTCGATCACGATTCCCACTCCGTTTTGGTTTGTGTTTGCACCGTTGTCGAGTAGCTTGAAGCCGTCTCCAATATCACGAGACTTTGACCCCTTCCATTTTGTCTCTTGTATACAGCAAATGTTTACACGTCTTCTTAGAAGGACTTCGCTTAGTTCTGAGCTGCGTCCGGTCATTGAGCCCACGTTCCAGTTTGCAATGCGCAGTTTCTGGTTAGGATGGTGTGCTGCAACGACCTTTGCGTCGCTTCGGGGGAACGCCCTAGCATTTGCTGCATTCGTGATCACGTTGTCGTCGCCTGAGGGGAACGCCCTAGCCCTTATATTCACTCTTGTCTTTGTACTTTTCATGATTAGGAGTAGGTTATTGGCTGTAGATTTTTACGGCCGGTTGCCACCTGACGCCAAGGTACTAATCCATCTTAGGACTGTGAGCGCTGGTATAAAACCATATACCACCATCTCTTTTGCACCACCGTACCTGACAGTGCAACTCCAGTAGCGACCCATTAGACCTAATATGTAGGTGTAGCCCGCTCTTGGGTTTTGTGCCTCTTCCGCCTGATCCGCCGTTCCGATGGACTCCATCTCCGCCTTCACAACCGTTGAGGACTTCACCCGTAACCCTTGGCACGGGTTCCACGTTATACCCCGTGGGGCTGGGTCCCTGACTGAACTCGGCCACCAGCATTGTTCCGGCCTACTGGAACAAGCGGTGCCCACCCCCGCGACATGGACGCGCCAGCCAGGAATTACCCCAGTGGATAATAGAGAGGGTGACTCCATATTCCCTGGGGCCGGGTTAATGGTCTAGTATGTGTACCTAAACCAACGGATGTACGTACGAACAGTAGGATGTGACGTCGCCGACGATTAATGGCGGGCTTGGCTGACAGTTTCGGCACTAAACTATCGTGGCGCGGCATTGGCTTGGCTTGGCTTCATATAGCTTGGCTTGGCTTAATATGGCTTAGCACGGCGTAGCGTTACAAAATATAAAGGCGGAATGTGTTACCTTCTATTGATTTATCTTGAGGATAAACAATGTTATGCAGTATATTTAGTATTTATTGTCATGCTCCGATAAAGCTACTAACTTGCTTATTTTTCTATTAAATGCAAGCTTCAAAAATGTGATCTAACAAATTCTCAATTCCTAATTTTACCTGCTATTTAACAGTTTAATTTGAGCCATTATGGATATCACTCAGGATACAAAATCAACGTCCATACAAAAAGTGGACTTTGCCTTTGGTGAAGTTTTACCTTAATACTACTTTATTTTTATGAAAATGCAATGGTATATAAGCCAATAAGATTAGCATTTATATGATAAATAAAACTTGGGAAAATATTATTGAAATATTACACATTTTGAAAAACATTCTCATTACTTTTTTTGAAAATAGTTTGACAAAATTATTACTCATAGTCATTATTACTTGCATAGTAATTAACTAATAAATTTTTAAAACCACGGTATGTCCATGATTATCTTTGTAGTGCTAAGGAGAGCAAAGTATGAATCATTGACATTAGATAATTTCACATTGTGATCCCCAGCATGAAATCATGAGTTTGTGAGAATAGTACTAATTTCAAAGTGGAAAGATCACAAATCTTGCGCACTAATGTTACATGTAATTTATCCTTACTTCATTATTTTCTATATTTGATACATTCATGTACTGAATTTATTTATTTATGTTAAAGACTAACGTTAAAATATAATGTATATTTCTGTTGGGAAGTAGAGTAGTATTAGCAAGAGTTGGCAACACAGGTGACAGCACTCTTGTGCTTTTTGTTGTTAACGGACATCGTAATTCACTTACCTTCTATTAGGATTATTTACAATTATATTATAAAAGAAAGAAATATCTCAGAATATCTACTTCTTAAATGAATAATATCAATGATTCTTTGTAAAAAGAACAGAATTAAAAATCGACTAACATTTTCAAATTTTTGATGATGTCATTGTGATGAATTATTGCCGCGAAAATTCGACATTTGACGTTTAAGACGCATCTGTCAGCTGATACCGTATCCAGAGCAGATAGTTTTTGTTTTAAAGTGAATAAATGTTAATGTGTTTAAATTAAATTAGTGAAAAAAAGCTTTTTGAACTACAACCGAGTATAAAACCTAGTTATTATGAACTTTTCGGACAATGAAAATGTGAGCATACGCTTGTTACTTAGTCGTTTTTGTGACTCAACAATACGACTTTTCATCATGTTGCCCTTACCTTTGTCCTTTGCTGTAATTAATGACAGAAGCGCAACGAAAATCAAAATGCATTTGTTAATGTCTCTATACTTATTCTTAATTATTAAAGGTATTATTATTTTTATTAGGACGAGACTTCCAGCGTTGAAAGCACTTCAAACACCGACAATACCTCCCGTAGTGAAACACCGACAAACACTCGTTTCAAGAAACGACGCCGAGGCAAGAAAAAGGTTCCTAAACAAGGAAAACCGCCATATAAATTTAAGTAAGCCTGCATTAAAGTAGTTCATGCGTCTTGAATCTTTAATATATTATTGATGGTCGGTAAATTATACCTTATGCCTGTCTAATATAGCTTTTTCTTACATGTCAGATAATTGAGAATTTAAATCTCAGTAGTGTAATGCAGTTCCAGTCCCATTTTCTAATTCTAGCCTTGCAGAATCCCTTATTCTATCTCACCTCACTCTCAGTATCATCAGGGCTTTAGTAGTCTACTGGCTAGACATAGGGCTCTCCTTACAAAGAAGGTTTTGGCCACCTCACCCATTAACATATTACCTAAATTGGCAAGTGGCTGGCTATAAAAGAGACCAGTCAAAACCCCTTGCAATGTTACATATTGTATTGATCTCAAAAAAAAATTTGAGAAGAGAAAGCTAAAAAGTGTAGTCTATCATTGGATAGAATATTTAGCTATTAAATTGAAGGGGAGGGCTCAAATATCTGTCAAAGTTTAAATACTTAATATATCACTAGTATTAAAAATAAACATGTGTATAGTAAATTATAAAATACTGAAAATGCAAGAATCAATTGTTAATCATTTGTCTGACTGATGCTAAATTAAGCAGAGTCTGCTGAAAAATGTACTTAAATATTTCTAAATACATATTATAGATAAATAACACATAGAGAACTAATGATCATGCTGATCACAGAACTATTTGTCTTCGGTGAGAATCAAACCCACCACCTCCAGTTTAGCAGTGTTAAAATTAATTTTCTCCTTTTCAATATCATGACTGCAGTGATTACAAAAGGAATTAGTTATCCTTTGAAATGAAAAAACTCCTTCAGGGGTTTCCTGTAATAAATAACATCTCTTACTTTTTTAAATAGCTGTAGTGCAAAAGAAGACCATGGTCAACCACTGTTTGGTTGTCAATTTAACCACCATTTGGGTGAGGGAGAACCACAGGTGTTTGCGGTAGTGGGCAGTAACAGGGTGTCCATCTATGAATGTCCTGAATCAAGTGGCTTCAAATTTCTTCAATGTTATGCAGATCCTGATGTGAGTTTCTAGATGAAGTAATTTTATTCCTCAGTTTTGAATTAAATTTGTTGTAGCTTTATTTTTTTAGATAAATAGCATATACACACTTGATAAGACAATTCTTGCTAAGTTAATAAAGTTGCAATAGGTACAGCTTGATGTACTTCTGAACCATATTATGACTGTTGCTGAACATACTGTAGAATAAAAATGCATGTGTAATTAAAAGGACCACCAAAAGACTTACAAATCCTTTCTATGTTTGAGTGAGGTTTTAACCATGCTTTAAAGCAATCCAGAACACGTGACTGCACGGATGGCGTAGTGGTTTAAGCGGTCGCCACGCCGCTTCCTACTACGCCGAGTGTTCCGCCGAGTGTTCAAACCCCTCATGGGACGACACTTTGTGTGATCCACAAATTGTTGTTCTGAGTCTGGGTGTTCTTTGTGTCCGTTTCATGTATGTTTGTAAAGTCCCCCGCGACACAGGATTTATTCCTAATGCGGGAGTTGTCTTTTTAAAAAGAAGAAAAAAAAAGAAAAGAATCCAGAACATACCAATATCATTTTTTTTAAATGATACTGTTTACAGGTTGATGAAACATTCTACACCTGTGCTTGGTCATACGAAGAAGATACTGGCCTACCATTACTGGCTGTAGCAGGATCCCGCGGTATTGTCCGGATTTTCGCTCCTGCTACACAAACCTGCATAAAACATTACATTGGCCATGGACATGCTATTAATGAAGTGAAGTTCCACCCACGGGATCCGAACTTGCTTCTGTCTGCAAGTAAAGATCATGCATTAAGATTATGGAATATTAAGACTGATGTGTGTATAGCAATTTTTGGAGGAGTTGAAGGGCACAGAGACGAAGTTCTTAGTGCTGATTTTGATCAGAGAGGAGACAGGATCATGTCATGTGGCATGGACCACTCGCTCAAATTATGGCGGCTCGACAAGCCGTCGATGCATGAGGCTATCAAACAGAGCTATAATTTCAATCCTCATAGAGCACTGAGACCATTCAATTCCTTGAAGGAGCATTTTCCAGACTTTTCTACACGAGATATTCATAGAAATTATGTTGATTGTGTTAGATGGATGGGCGATCTTATTTTATCCAAAGTAAGTTAATTTTCTCCTAGTCGAAGGTAGTTTCAAGCCAGCCATTTCAGAAAGGTAAAAAAAAAACTCTTGCCCTGCCCTAGCGGTGTTCTTGATAAGATTCAATTTGGAGAATGTCTAAGATTGTTTCAGTAGTTTTATGACCAATAAATATTTAATCTATGTAATGCTGTTAAACTAAGAACATGCAACTAAGCTTGCTAGATTTAGACACAAAACTATGGCTATCACAGTTTCCAATATTATAAGTAGCTGAAACTCGTTGAAAAGCAATAGGTATTATTTAGATTCTTGTTAAATTCGTCATGATAATGAAATAGCATATCTGTTGATACTACTTCACCGAAAAAGTACCGCACTTGTTAGGTCTAGCTTTATAATATATGGTATTTATGTGTTCCTAGTACAAATAAATAATACTTATATAACTAAATTTTAGTCTTGCGAAAACGCCATCATTTGCTGGAAGCCAGGACGTTTGGAAGACACAGAGATTCGACCAGGGGACAGTTTTGTCACTCTTGTTCATAGATTCGACTACAAGGAGTGTGAGATATGGTTCATACGGTTTGCTGTCGACTACAGCCAAAGAGTGAGTGATAATTATTGATACTTTGCAAGTGACGTCACCGTTGTGGCGGTTCATGTTTGATAATACTTAAATGGCTGTCACTGTTTTAGTTGAGATATTCATTTGTATCTTTTTTATATATATAGGTAATAGCACTTGGTAACCAGTGTGGTAAGACGATGGTGTGGGAGCTGGGTAACGTAGCAGGAGGCTCTCGAGTATCTCAGTTGGTTCACCCACGATGCGTCGCGGCTGTGAGACAGGTATTATGTTAGTTTGAATAATAATACTTGATTATTTAAAAAATCTTCTTCAGCTCAAATAATAACATTCTCAGTATTTAAACAACAGTTTTTTTTTACATTTTTTTCAGGTGACATTGTCTCGCAACGGCAAGATATTGCTAACATGCTGCGACGACGGCACCATCTGGCGATGGGATCGCGTTAACAATGGAAACGTTTGAATACGGTCCAAATATGAGCAAAAAAACTGTAAACGAGCATTATAAGTTTTCGTTCTTACGTAAATTGGGAATCCAACATCTATTCCACCAACAAGACATTAGTGATCAACTACCATTAGGAAACTGTTCTAACAGGCTCGAAGGACCAAAATGTATAGGGTAACATGTTACATTTAGGCCTTCTAGTATGAAGAACTTCAATTCAACTTCGTCTTGAGTCATACTGTTTCCTTTTTTACTACTTAGTATCAGGCGCAACTTTTTTAATTAACTTCAAAAGCTAAATCGCATTCTTCTCTGGTGTATCAGTCAGTTTTCTAGATTTTCCTCTTTACCTTTCGTAGTGCAGCTTTCTGGTGTGAAGTCATTTCAGGGATGATCATTCCAACAGCAGTTTGCAATGAGGGTTTTTGAGGCTGATAATCGATTTCAGTATTAGCTTCAGGTCGGACGATCACCCAGCTCTTCAGTCTGTGTAATACGTTCTTGGGTTATCAAATCATCAGATGCATAAAAATCTTGAGGTAGTAAATCATCAAACTGGCCTTTGCTTGAGATTATGACTGAGAGGACTCTGGGTGAAAGACAAATTGCGAGGTCGTTTCTAGAATATTGAACGCTTCGAAATTTTTTCTGTCATAAAATTAGCTTCTGCGGATGGAAACCCGTAGACCTTAACCCATTCAAAATATTGTGTGAATGCTCGTGGAAATGCCTTTTCAACTTAATGGTCAATGATTTCCCTGCGTTTCCTGGTGTCATCATTTTTTCGTTATCTGCATGATTGAAATATGTTTTACATGGCACAGAGGCCCGTTATATCCAGAGGTTGCATTTTATTGTTTGTGTGAGGATGTAACGTAACTAGAATGACACAATTTTCTTTTGCTAGGCGAATTGTTGGAATGGAAATATGGCATTATTTCATGATTAGCCATCATAATAATAATAAGATGTGTAAATCGTGTTATCTGGGGTGAGCGATCCTCAGAGCAAATAAGCGAGTACCATGATCTCTGTCACTCTAGACTTGGACAGATGGATATTCCTGGGGTACTGAGTGCTTGTTGTGACAGGTTTTGTGATAATAGGGAACATCGCTCAGTTCTTGATGAAATGTATCTGGAGATTGTAGACACCCTAAGCCGTGCCGCCGTACAAACATGTAAAGCCAAGTGTCGGAAAAAAGGTGGCTACGTGACTGGGTGGAATAAGCATGTCGCGGATGCTCACCGCGAGGCACGGCTTCAGTTCCGAGTTTGGACAATGGCAGGTCGTCCGGCCACTGGCCCTTTATTTTGTAAAATGGCGGAGGCAAGGCGAGTTTTTAAGGCCAAGCTTAAATGGTGTCAGAACAGACAAGATCAGCTCAAAATGGATCTTCTTGCCTCAATCCATACCACTAAGGATTTTAAGCAGTTTTGGAAAAAAACAAACAATATGAATGTGAGGCCGAGTCTCCCGGTGAGCGTTGGTGGTATGACTGATCACAAGCATATTGCTGATGCCTTTAGGACACACTTCTCTGTGCGGTCGCCTTTGAACTCGGGGTCGTATGATAGGGAATATGCTGGGGCTAGTGTGACAGGGCGGATTACTAACGTACCAGCTAAGACAGTCGCTAAAATTGTTTCCGGAATGCAACATGGAAAATCGCCGGGTCACGATGGCCTCAGCATAGAACATTTTAAGCATGCAGGGATGCACCTGCCTAAAGTACTCTCTCTGTTTTTTACCCTATGCCTCGGTCACTCTTATTTACCCGAACCGCTTATGCGGACCACTGTGATACCTGTTGTTAAAACCAAAACGGGTGACACGTCCGATGTAAATAACTATCGACCCATCTCGCTTGCCACCACCGCGGCTAAGGTGCTTGACGGTGTGTTGAACGGCTGCCTTTCAGATCACGTTGAAGTACACGATGCCCAGTTCGGGTTCAGGGGCGGCTTGTCCACGGAGAGTGCCATACTTAGCCTAAAACACACAGTCAAGTACTATACATCGCGGAGGACGCCGGTCTACGCGTGTTTTCTCGACTTGTCAAAAGCTTTCGATCTTGTTGCCTATGATGTACTTTGGGACAAGTTGGGAAACACGAGTGTTCCGACCGAGTACACAGCGCTCCTCAAATACTGGTATGCTCACCAGACAAACCGGGTGAGATGGGTCGGTACCCTCTCGGATGAGTACAGAATGGAGTGTGGTGTGAGGCAGGGGGGGTTAAGCTCACCTCTGTTGTTTAATTTATATATGAACCAGCTTATCGAGCGACTGAGCAGCACACATGTAGGCTGTCACATAGACGGCACATGTGTCAATAATTTAAGTTACGCGGACGACATGGTGCTGCTCAGTCCTTCGATAGGTGGACTGAGAGAGCTACTATCGATCTGCGAGACGTATGCGGAGATGCACGGCCTTAAATACAACTCTAAAAAGAGCGAGATTTTAATATTCAAAACGCAAAAACAACAGTCACGCCGTGTAGCTCCGGTATATCTCAATGGCGTAGTGCTAAAAGTTGTTGAGAAGGTCAGGTATTTAGGCCATATTGTCACCAGTGACCTTCGCGATGACAGCGACATAGAGCGGGAGCGCAGGGCGTTGGCGGTGAGGGGCAATATGCTCGCCCGTAGGTTTGCTCGCTGCACGGCAGACGTTAAAGTGACTTTATTTAAAGCGTTCTGTCAGTCCTTCTATTCGAGCGGCCTGTGGGTGTCATATACAGAACGGGCCTACAACGTCCTGCGCGTACAGTATAACAACGTCTTCAGGATGCTGTTGCGGCTGCCGCGGCATTGTAGTGCATCGGGCATGTTTGCCGAAACACGCACCGACGGGTTTCATGCTCTCATGCGTAAAAAATCGGCTTCCATGCTAAAGCGCTTGCGAAATACCCGGAACAGCGTCCTGAAGATGATTGCTAGTAGGCCAGACTGTCCTATACAAAGGCATTGGGTGGCAATAGCAATAGGAAAGCATAGTTGAATGCCTTTCTACTATTAAGTGCCGTTACTAACAATACTAATATAGACGTTAAGTACTTTCTGTTTCTAACCCATTACTAAACAACCTATGGACTGTATATGTCTGAAATAAAATTATTATTATTATTATTATTATTATTAATAATGGCAGTGCGGTCCTTAATAGTGAAGTGCTTCATGCATCGTGAATGTGGTCGCATTAGGCCATCCTAATGGATTTGCAGCACTTAAGAAGCTTTCTGAAACTCCTAGAACCATAAATTCTTTGAAAATAACGCTCGAGAAGCTCATATACCAGCTTGCTTTTAGACATGATCGTCGTAATGTATTTTAGGATAATTAGTTAAGAACATGATATCAATGTTGAAACAAGATTTATGTAAAATATGTTCATACATGTGAAAATCACAATAAAACAAGACTGCTGTTAGTCAATGTAATATGTGTATTCATTAATAAGATTCTAACATTATAATAAAAATAATGTTTTAAGACAATTTAATTTCATGACCAACAGATTATTTCTACTATAACAAAATGAATCACAGGGGCCAAGGTGTTATTTCGTGTTCACTACTCGCAAGTACATATATTTTGCTGCTACTCGTAACCTCGTGAGTCCTAATGTACAAGTTATGGTTTACCCGCACATATCGGCAGAGTTTCAACAAGATCGGAGGTACGGATAAACCTTTGTCGCCTACAAACTAGACACTGACATACGACTCTACGTACGCTACGTAATAAAATACCATCAATTAACTCTATGAACTAATACTAACATCCACGACTGCGTAATTGAATTTTAGTAAACATCAATTTATTTCAGTCTTTAAAAATTTTCTATTAAAAATGAACAATAAAAACTTTCGAAACTATAACCAATGTACAAAAACTATTAATGTTAATATTTGAGATCGTTTTACAAAAGGTTGCACAATTTTATTTCATAATATAATTCCTCTATATAAACAGTAATTTAAAACATAAAATATATACAGAAAGAATAGAGGTATCTACAGTACACAAAGGTCGTACAAAACATCAGTCACAACGGAGACATTGAGCTATGACGATACTAAATTCAGTCACACAACTACAATAAATTACGCTGCTAGACTCTGATACTGGGTTAAGTATTTGGCTCGATAAGGGACATATTTTTGACAAAGGAGGTACTACAAGATTTGAAATCCGAGTTCCATTTCTTTTTTATCGAATACTGTTTTGCAAACATTACGTACATTACGCACGTTCCAAGTCAATGAATGAATGAGAAAGTGTACGTTTCTACATTCACTGCAGTGACCTCTAGACACAAGCGTTAGTTGTGACCCACTTGCAGCTAACTTCAAACCGGTCAACTAAAATTGCACGTATTGCATACGGATAAGATCACAGGTAGAATTCATTACACGTTGAAGTAATAGAGAAAAGATCTTACTATAATTGAGAACTTATATTAAACTTAGAATATATTTAATACAATTATATAACTACCACGTAAACAACACAGTATACAACGATTGAGATAATTTCGTATGAATATAATGACGTAATGCTAAAAATATCAACAACTAACAAATGTACGTACATACACTTTAACTTCGTAAAGGCACGAACTATAAACAAACCATTCAAAACAATGGTTAACATAAATGGGCTACATTATTATTGTTAAAATTTTATCATTTAATTTATGAACTTGTTTAATACATTCTTCGTTAAACTTTCTTTACAAACATTTTCAATAAATGTTGTTTACATGTTGACAAGATATCGAATTAATGCAACATGTAAACGATATCGTTAACAGCCCTGACAACATTCCCACCATTAATTTATTCATGCAAAAACGTACAATAATCACTGTGCTTATTATTACGTGAAAATCTACTTTCTAACTTTTTGATGTGTTTTGTACACGCTTTATATTAGCTTCACTTGTATGTTTGTAACCGACTCCTTTGGCCATGATTTTGACTGACTTTAAACGGTCAGAATTCGTTCAAACTTTGTAGATATATCGAGGACCGATGAAAATACACTAATTAAAAAAAAAATAGTTTTAAAAAACTAAAAAATACGCTTTCTATAGAAAACCAAACTAAAAAAATAGAAATAAATTTGAAAAAAAGCGTTGGGTGCCTGTTGTCAATAGTAAAAAGCACCCCACGCTTTTTTTCAAATTTATTTTCTATTTTTTTTTATAGCATGTTTTATCAGGGTATCACTTGTAGGGAATTAAAAGGACGCTATCTTGTGTGTCATGGTCATTTTCTGTAATACCATACAAATATACAGCTACCGCCTTTATTCCTCCGTAAATAAATAGTTCGCTTTAAGTTTTTCCTCAGAGTGCGCTAAACAAACACTATGTAAGTTTGTACTAGCTTTTGTAATGTATGATTAACAGCATACAAAATATATTTCGAAGCATCCACAACAATATTTTACGTAAATGCATGAACATTGTACGACATGTACATAATCAATGTAAGCTCAATATTCTAGTGCGACAACAAACATAATTAGTTACAAAAAAAAAGAAACTAATTACGCCTAAAATAAAATAATTTGGTCTCTTTGGAGTGTGGGAATAACCACTTGACCTGTTGATCGAGAGTTTTAACGCTTTTGTGACCGATTTAAGATTAGAACATGTATAACTATTGTTACTATACATATATAACTTGTCGCACTATATCCACTCCGAATCCATCGTTCGCTGTTGTGTTGTTGTAGTAAAATATCCGAAAACGGACACAGTGACTTTCTAATATCTACACTACATTATAATATTAAAGTGCTATAATATAATATGAATTAACACTATATTGGGGCAGTAATATGCAAGTCGTGATAAGGAATGGTGGCATTTCAATTTTTTTTTAATAAGTGAGAAGGAAACAAATAACATGTGTAGGTTACTTAAATAACAGACTCTTTACTAACGTATACTTTCGCGTTCCATGATAAATAAATACGTGCATACACGGGACTTAATCAGTCAGTCTAGACAATGCAACCAGCAGTGATATTCTTTAAGGAAACAGCCTTGCGTACAGCGATGCCAAAGCGTCGCACTTCAAAATAATTTAGTTTGAAGTTCGACCTGAGAATAGTACTGCTCGTCGAAGTGTCAGACAATTGAAAGACTTAATACTTGTTACATAACTGACTCAACTCAAACCAAAATATTATTATGATACAAACAAAACGGAGCTCCTGAAAGTTTTATTTTACTGGGTAATTTTGCCTATTGAATGACACTACTGTTTTTTCTTCATAATCTATTTGATAGAAATTAACAAAGCTGATATAACATTATATTTGTATATTGTGTAATATTCCGTGCTATGTATAATATGACTAGATTTCTTTAATAATCTTTCCTCCCTTCCCACACGCAGCCAGTGTATTTTTTTTAACTTACTGTATTCACTCGTATTAATGTTCTTATAATTTGAATTAAATTAAAAGAGTAAAATCTACGGTCGCTCTAAAAATAGGGTAGATAAATCTAACTCAAAACGATTGGCTTAATACAATTTTGTTTAAAATAATAAGGCGTGACGTCATACCTCACTATTGTCAAACATTCATATTATTTTCACCTCACTAAAATAAATTAAACTGATGACAACATCTACAGTATTTGAATTTACTTTATTGATAGACATGGTGAAATAATTTATCTACCCCCTTTCATACAAATGTAAGCCTTAACATGAGTGACATACGTAAGGTACTCGCAATAGTTTATAAATGCGCCTTACGATAAAGATTATTTTAATAGCATGTTATTTGAGGTTCATACATTGATGAAGGTATAATAAGTGTCACTATTCAATACATACAGCAATTATGAGTACAACGCCTTTTCAAAAGCTTTTTAGCATCAATGATTGCTCGCCTTCGGAGTAATACAAAATTAATTATTTCTAATAATTTACCCTGACTAAAATATTTGACTAGTTTCTTTGAGATCAATTATTAAATAACGAATTCGGAAGCCACCTATTAGAGCCATTAAAGGCTTGAACTCCAAAATAAATATTAAATCACAAATAGTAATTAGACTTAGATACTTTAGTTTCTTTAACACTACTGTGAAAACTGCAATGAACAAAGAAAACCGAGATAACCGCTGCAACACTTCCACTTGTGTATTGGAAAGTCGATCTTTGACTCTCAAAAATTATCGACTACTCGACCAGTCCATCGAGTATCGATCGATTGAATCGGTATCGATCGAAAATACTTTCAACCCTAACAGTGAATAAACTATCAAAACTAACTAATTATATTTAGATAATAACATTTAATAAATAAGAATATTAGCCATAACATCTTTTAAATAATAATTAAATATTTGTATTAGCTGAGATCATCTAAACATATATTGAACAGCGCCTTCAATTGCCGAGATCAGGAAACAAATACTAGTTTTGTTAGACTACATAGATGTTTGCGCTTTTTATTTATATTTAAAAGAAAATATCGTGATTTGTACTCAAAAAATAATAACTAAATTTGAAAATATGAGTATTCTATTACATATAACGAGGAGAAAATACTGTAAAAGACTCAGTATTCATTAAGGTTTGGAAATAGGAATCTTTACTATAGCTACATTTTAATACTTATTTACTTATAAACTAAGAGAAAACTTATTAATAATAACGTACAAATGTTCTATTAAATCACCTAATAATCGTCAACAACCAGTAAGCGCAAACGTTTCCATCGCATAATCCTACGTATATATCGAAACAGATTTTTCGTCCAACTTTGATTTTATACCACTACAGCTATCTTAACCCCAGCTACATCTACTCAAACACATGAATTTGAGATTCGAGATGGCAAATGGCGTCTTGTCCGCTTGTTCGCCTTTAGAGCCCGAATATGCTCTAATAAATCGACGACCGTAAATCTAATGAAGTTTCGAGAGTAATTAAATTCGGAATGATCTCTAAAATCGAATCTTCTACACGATTTTCCTACGGGGGAATGCGCGCGAAATATGACCTACGGACTTTCGACGTCCACAATTTAAATTTGGAACATACGAACTACCGAAGAATCGTTTTGAGTTCAAATTTGGAATCAAACGGATTTCCTCGTGGCGACGAGAGAGTGCGCGTCGGGCCACAGTAGTTCGTAGTTGAGTGTTAGCTAGTTGTCGGGCTCGGGCGGTCACCTGACACGGCCAGAGGGCGAGCGCAGGTGCGAGCGTATGTAGCCGGTGCGGTAGTCCATCGCGTCGCGGTTGCGCCCCGCGCCGTTGTTGCCGCGCTGACGACTGCGGCTCCATCTGCTCAAACATTACATTAATATTATAAACGTAAATGTTTTTACTAAATAACGCCAGTACAGCGGATCTCATCACCTGGATGAAATTAGGCACAGGTAGGTTATTCTTTATCCAGAAAAAAAATATTGATAAAAACGACATGCATGCTATTGAGATGGAAATGTATCAAACCCTCGATCGACCTCGCTCACATTGAATCTACATAATGGGAAGGTTTATACAAAAATATAAATAGGCATTACATGCAAATATTTTTTAGTTAATGCAATCTAACGAACAGTGTTATAAAAAGGGTAGTACAAACCTTAAAAGCCTCATAATGTAGTCAGGCCAGTTGTCGGGGAACATGACCAGAAAGAAGCCAACGCCGATCAGTATAAGACCAGCTAGATTCATACCCTCAAATTGCACTCCATACAACAACACGTCGAGAGCTAAAATTAAAAGATTTTGTCAACTCTCGTTTCGATGAGAATTTTTGAAGGTAAAACTTATAATGTATAAATTGCTGATAATTTGTACTTACCTCCAGAAACAGGAACGGCAGTAATAAGAGCGAGTGAGATGAATATATTATATGTTATAACATTTCCAAACTGGAACACTAGGTGAAAAACTGTAACAAATAAAATAAATCGTTTATTTTATACTGCGTAAATGGAAACTACGCAGTACTAAGTGGAGCAAACAGGTGACAGTCTGGTACCCAAGGGATGGCACTAGGAGCCGAGGTCGTAAAGCAATAAGATGGGAGGATGAAAAGACTTTTTCCACTTAAAAAATCAAAAAGAAATAGGGAAAACATCAACCTAAAGGTGGGTCTACGCTAGGCGAACTGAGCACGAGCGGAGCCGATTTAGGCGTTTTATAGCCAAAGTTGTTTTTATAGTAATCCTCATGTTTTGGGTTTTATATCGTTGGCTTATTTTGATATAATTCAATTAATTGCAAACATTCATATCCTCCAACTTTCCATGATGCTCAAGCGACACGTCTGTCAGTCAACATGTCCAAGAGCACACTGAGAGCTCGATGCAAATTTCTTTGTTTGTCAAAAAGCCGACAATTGGCGGAGCGCAGTCGAGCCCGATCTCAATGCACAAAACGCGCTCGTTCGAGGCTTGTAAGTCGGTCCACACTACACGTATTTGTGCTCGGCTCGTCTAGTGTAGACCCATCTTAAAATACCTAAAAGTGTTAGTCTTTCTTTATAATCATGTAACTCGCATACGGGGAACAGTTTACCTACTAAACTGTGAATAGATCTATGATATCATCTTTTTGTGATTAGATATTATGACACATTATATTATGCACGAATTGCAGGATAAATATAGAATGGAACGTAAGGCTGTAACAAATCGTTCCCACTGTGGTCAGGCAGGGGATAGTTTTGTTAGTTCCGTCTTCCGTATTTAGCTTCGTTTTAAAAGTATTCAGCCCCTATGGACGCAGTATACAGGGTGTAAATAATAGTGGATTGTAATCCTTTCTCTGACTTTTAAATTCTTTGGCATTTTCTGCCGGCAATTAAAATCATATATTTTTTTAGTACAAATTTTACATGCTGTGAAATTGCAATAATGATTATTGAAACATTCAATAAAATCGTCAGTTGAGTTTATTCAGCGCCAGTACCCGCATGCGTTACTACGTCACGGCGAGATTGCGTTTAAAAGCATAGATTGCGTATCGTGGATAGAATTAATCATCAATTTTGTATTTTATGATAAACTTACCTATTTCTGTATTGTATCATAATCATCCACAGAAATATATTTCTATAAGTTTTCCGTTACACCCTCACAGCTATTTCTTAGACAATTTACATATATATTTAAGAAAACCCAAATATTATAGATCAGGATCATTGTAGGTTCATATTCAACAGTATCTATTCTTAAGCTTATAAATATAATATATAATGAAACTTACTGAGCATCGCAATGCTAGCGATTAGGAGATATATCCATGGCATGCGGTGTGATGGCAGCATCTCCGAGCCGGTGAGGTAAAGGGCGAGGCACAGAGGCCACAGCAACGACGCGTTCACCACGCCCAGGATAGAGAAGAACAGAGCTCGTTGACCGGAGTTTACATCACCCATCACTTTTCTGAATAATACCTGTTGAGATATGAAACAGTTATTACATAAAAATCGAAGCGCTAAGTACTATTTATAAGTAAAAATCTGGTAGGCTTTAATTATTTCCTTTTATACTTTAACAATGATTGAAGATTATTACAACAATATCTTATTACCAGGCTGCGAAAGAAGGAGGGTTTACTTATTCTAGTGTATTTAAGTACATATGTGTATATCTTTGGTACGCTTTGTATTTCACTTGTTGCTTTTTCAATGAATAGTATATGGTGCAACAAATGCATTAGTTTACTTACATAATTTTAATTTATTATAAATTTGCATTTCACATCAAAAGCCTATGATAGTCCACTGCTGGACATAGGCCTCTCCTCTGAGAGGAGGTTTTGGCCTACTTTGCATTTATTGCCGTTCTATCGTTGTCATTGTACGAAACATTGAACTAGCTATAAGGTGTCCTGATATTGTTTTATACATTTAAATATAAATAATAAATATTGATATGGAGTCTGATCAAACCTTGAATATGGCGAAACCAGCTGCGGCGAAAGCAGCCAGTACAACCCCGCCAAGCGTGGAGCTCCCTGTTATACCATCCATGTACGCCAGAAGGGCTATGCCCGTGTCGCACATTATCGTCGCTACGATCTAAAATACCATACAGTAATATTAGGGGTAACCCTACTGGGGAATACAATATAATATTCTGTATTAAACACCGTAGAAAAAAAAGACAAACGGTTTATTACTACTTGTTTGCACACGAAATCTACGGAGCTCAATAGTTGGGAGTACTTTTGGAGGGGTTTGGGAGTACTTTAAGGTAAGTGAGAGTAAAGGGATAAAATAAAATATTGCTAAGTAGGTCGAGAATATGAGCATTTCGAAGAAGCCGTATCGGGAGGCACTTAAGCGTAATACATTAGCGTAAACGAAATACCTGGTGCAGACGTTTTGTAGACACTCACGTTTATATGATATTATTAAGATAGTTGGAGTTATCGTAATCGGCGAATAAATAGAATGCTAGTATAATTTTAGAGGCGATGGGAAGAAAGTGATACAAGTTTCTTAACCAAATGATACAAATAATGTAATTAGTAATACTAGGACACTATTTTCTTAAAGTAATGTCAAAGTATCAACACATAAAAAATTGTTTCTAGAACGTTACTTTTACAATTAGGAAGTAGAGTCAAACAATGGCATTTTGGCAATTTTTTTACAGAGAAGAAGGATAACACGTGGCGTTTACTACGATATAAATATATTTAGCAGAATCCCGAATCATCAACAGCCTTTAATAGTCCACGGCTGGACATAAGCCTCTCCTTAGAAGGTTTTGGCCTACTATACCACGCTGGTCAGACGGGTTGGTATAGGGTTTGTGTCCTCTGCGAGGTGGGCCCCGATCTGTCGGACGCCCAGTTTGGTTTTCGGGCGGGGCGTTCGACAGTCGACGCCGTGTTGCGCCTGAGGGCCGTGACCGAAGAGGCCGTGAGCTGTGGCGGCGTGCTGTTGGCGGTGTCACTGGACATCGCCAACGCATTCAATAGTCTGCCATTCAGCTGCATCAGGGAAGCACTCCACTATCATGGGGTGCCAAAGTACCTGAGGCGGCTGGTGGCAGACTATTTAGAGGAGCGTACCGTCGTGTACGAGGACCGAGAAGGTAATCTGAGGTGTCGGCCCATGTCGTGCGGTGTTCCACAGGGGTCTGTTCTTGGACCCCTCTTGTGGAACATAGGGTACGACTGGGCCCTTCGCGCCGATTTCCCCCCCGGGCTGGGTGTAATCTGTTACGCAGACGATACCCTCGTGACAGCCCGGGGGGCAAACTTCCAAGAGGCGGCGCGCCTGGCCACAGGGGGAGTCTCCCTGGTGGTCGGGCGCATTGAGGCGCTGGGCTTACGGGTGGCCCTAGATAAGACGGAGGCCCTGTTATTTCCTGGGCCCCGTCGTGGTCCACCCCCTGGCGCCTCAATCGTGGTCAACTCGGTCCTCGTACCGGTTCGGGCCCAGATGAAATATCTGGGCCTGATCCTCGACGGGAGGTGGCTCTTCGACGAGCACTTCCGACAGCTTGCTCCAAAGCTGGTCGGCGCTGCGTCTGCCCTAGGGCGACTTTTGCCCAATATGGGTGGACCCAGCGTCGCGACAAGACGGCTGTACACGGGGGTTGTCCGGTCAATGGCACTGTACGGTGCACCGGTGTGGGCGGCGGCTCTGACCGCCCAGAATAGGGTACGCCTCTGGCGCCCTCAGAGGGTAATGGCGGTCAGAGCCATACGCGGTTACCGCACCGTTTCGACGGAGGTGGCAGTGCGCGTTGGCCGGAACTCCCCCGTGGGATTTGGAGGCGGAAGTGCTCGCCGAAGTTTATCGGCGAGTGGCTGACTTCCGGGCGGAGAGCGGATTTCGCCCTCCGCCCGAGGATGTGCGCGAGTGGCGCGAAGCCGCTCGCCGAGCCACGATGGCTCGTTGGTCGTTCCGGCTGGAGACTCCACGCGCTGGCTTCGCCGCCGTGGAGGCTCTCCAGCCGGTCATCGCCGAGTGGGCAGGGCGGCAGCACGGGACCCTTTCCTTCCGACTGACGCAGGTGCTTTCCGGGCACGGTTGCTTCGGGAAGTACCTGCACACGGTCGCTAGGAGGGAACTCAGTCCCCGCCTGCCACCACTGCGACTGCAGTGAGGACTCGGCCCAGCACACGCTGGCGGTCTGCCCCGCATGGGCGGCGCAGCGTCGGGCCCTCACTGCAGTCATCGGAGTGGATCTCTCGCTACCGGCCGTAGTACGCTCCATGGCCGGTAGCGACAGTTGTTTTACCGCGGTCGCAACCTTCTGCGAGGTAGTAATCTCGCGGAAGGAGGCGGCGGAGAGGGCCCGGGAGGACGACCTCCACTCGGACCCGATCCGCCGCCGGCGAACCGGGCGGCGGAGGCCCGCCTACCACAGCCTCATGCCGCCCTGAGTGTGGCCGCGGGTGGACGGGGTGGGTTTCCCCTCCACCCGCATTAGTTGGCCAGCCGCGAGGGGGCGGCGTCCGCGTGTGCCGGACGTCGCCTAAAGAGAGGAATAATATCGAGACGGAGCCCGCATCAGGAGCGGGCTGGCGCTAGGAGGGGTCCGGATGTCTTAACAACAGCTGTTCCCGGATCCCTCCTGTTACAGGCGCAGAGTGGCACACCGTGTGGTTTTAGTCGGTCCGAGTCCGACACACCACCCCGCCGCAAACCCCGGAGGGGTGACGGTCCGAGGGGATTTCCACACGTTAAAAAAAAAAAAAAAAAAAGGGTTTGTGTCAAGTTTTCCTTCTCTCTGCAGTGCTGTTTTCTCCCTTATTCGGCTCTTACGACACCCACGAGATGAATAAGGGTGGTAACACTCTGTATTTTTAATCCGTCACCACACAGACCGAATGCTAAAATTTAAATTGAATATTGCTTTTCCAAAAAACAAAAAATGCTCAGTAACCATTTTGAACTGATCACGTGGTACCAAGTAAATACCAGCCACAAGTGCAAGTGCTGTCCGACAGCCATATTAAGATGTAAATTTAACTAATGTAAAATTTGTAATATAATAAAAAATAATACAGATGTAGAAAAAGTACAAGTAGGTAGCCCACTTGTCTTTATTAAAAACTAATCGCAAATCATATGTTTACATTGCATAAAATGAAGTCGTTGCCCGTTCTTGTACGCTTAGATCTTTGCTTTTTTATTTTAGATCTTCGCTTTTTCTTTTTTAAACTATGCAAGGGATTTAAATGCGGTTTTTATCAATACAGAGAGTGATTCAAGAGGACGGTTTATAAATATAACACATTGCACTCGTTTGAAGCCAAGCTCGCTCATTTTGAGATATTTTGTAAAGTCACTCACCCTGACGCCAACGAATTGTTCATGCAATATCACCCAAGAGAGAAGATATATACATGAGACATTGGTGGCGAATAATGCAAGCACATCAGTTGAGAGCAGGATCTTCAATGAGTAGGTGTACATGTAAATGGTTACTACCCACAGGAGACAGAAGAGTCCACAGCGGCTTATAAAGCGTGCTGCAAAGAGAAAATACCATGACACTACGTGTTGACTCTTAAGGTTAAAACAAGAACCGGAATGCGGCAGTCCTTTAAAATTTGAAAAATAAAAACTCTTTTTTCGTTAAAATAGAGCTTAAAAATCTTATATCACTGCCTGTTAGACTACATACGATTACTGTTAAACAGGTGTCATATTGAAGTATGTAATCCTGTGTAATAATAGTAAATCTAGAAAATAAATAAAATCGAATCCGCGAAATACGAAATGACTTTAATTAATTGTTAACAAGTTTATATCCAAATAAAAATGTTGTTAACCTAACTATATTTTTTTTTTATTTCTTTAACTTCAACTTTATTTTATAAACACGACATTCTTTGTCTCCCAGAACCGGGTTGATGGTTTGACTGGAGGACATTTTTTTTTTCTTTTTTTTCCGTGCGGATATACCCTCGGATACCACCTATCGGTGGCATGTCGGACTCGAACCGACTAAAACCGCACGCCGTCTCGGGTACTAATAGCCGGGGAACCAGGTATACACTAGAAAGGAAGTCCCTGGTGCCCCGACATTTGACTGGAGGACTAATATTTAACAGGTTACATAAATTAAAAATATCTATATTGTTCATAATATTTTAATAGTAATTCGCCCAGACAATTGCTTGTCCTTAATAAAATGTTGTACCCTGTTGTACTCATCTTCCAGCACCTTGATTGAATGCAAAAATTCGAAGTGTTCCTTACCCAAATTTACCTTTTTTCCTTCTTTGACGTTACATTGGAAATGAGAGTATGCGTCAGACAAGCGGCTGGCCTTATACAAAAGCCAGCCAAATCCTTGGCAATACGGCAAATTGACTTGTTTTTGACAGACAACTCCCGCATTAGGAATATATCCTGTGTCGCGGGGGACTTTACAACATACATGAAACGGACACAAAGAATACCCAGACTCAGAACAACAATTTGTGGATCATACAAAGTGTCGTCCCATGTGGGGATCGGACCCACAGCACTCATTGTAGTAACAAGCGGCGTGGCGACCGCTTAAACCACTACGCCATGCGTTTTCAACCGTTCGCCTTCTATTATACATAACTATTATAACGGGAATTAAGGCGATCAATTGATCGCGTTAATTCCCCAACCTATACTAATTATATAAATAGATATGGACAACTGAATGGAAACGGACATTCAGTGCCTTTTCCTGCTCTGTTTGTTAATCATTTGATTTGACCATTACGAAGCTTTAGTGTTATCAGATAAAAAAAAACTTATTCCATACTTTCGAAGGAGCTTTATTGTTTTGAATAACTTAAATAATTACGATTAAATTTCGACGTCAGCCCAACTAATTATATATTAATCATATATTGAATAATACTATCAATAAAGAGAGAACTATCCAGTTACGACTTAACAAGCTATTTTTATCTTTATTTTTCTTTTGTTTAATAGCTTTTGACAATCTCACTGAATCTTATCAAAAGCTACGCAAGAAATGGAATAATTTGAGAAAGGTATTTTCCATGCCTTCGTAGGAACTTTATCGTTGACAATAATTTATTTCTTGGGTCTAATTTCACCCTTTACCAGGTCCAAAGTTCGTAACTTAATATTTGAATGCATATCAGTCAGAAGAAAAATAATTTTAAAACTCTTACCAAACGTGAATCCCTTCTCTTTGAAATCGCTGAAGGCATCAACAACGACATCATTGGCAGATTTACACTTATTGTGTATCAGCATTACAACCATGTACAGTGGGTAGAACAGTATCAGCCAGTTGGTGCAAAACCACGCCGTAAAGAATGGAGCGTTATATTGATGCTGTAACAAAATTACACCATTGTATCTCAACAGTATTGTTAAAATAGTCACTATCATGTGTTTTATTTTTAAAAGCCAACTCTCGCACTAGGAATATATCCTGTGTCGCGAGGGACTACAAACATACATGAAACGCACACAACGAACACCCAAACTCAGAACGACAATTTATGGATCACACAAAGTGTCGTCCCATATGGGGATCAAACCCACAACACTCGGCGTAGTAGGAAGCGGCGTGGCGATCGCTTAAACCACTACGCCATACGCGCAGTCGAAACTATGACCAACATCTGCCCCTTTGAAGGTATCTTGAACTTGGCGGACACTACAGCAGACGGGTCCGAACACCGTCGCCTATGGTCACCTGCCAATCAAGAGTTACAAGTCCATTGCCGTCCTCTGATTCCCCCTCCCAGAATCATGGGGGTTTGGGCTCCGGTAACCACCTCACTCACCCGGTGTAAAACAATAAAAGATTTAAAAAAATATGATATCATTAATGTCCAATATGCACCGCAACTAACGAACCTGAAGGGCAAGCAGGTTTTTTCTCCGATTAGCAAACCACTTCCTAATAAAAACATTTTATTATTTAGCGTAAAATACTCGTAATTGACTTCAAGAAATTTTAACTCAATTGGGGGTTGTAGCAAGTTTCCGTAACACGCAATGTAATAATAATACGTATATTTTGATGGTTGTTTCTTGATTGTAGTAATACTCTTCATTAATATTATGAAAAATGCAAAACAAGCACAGGTATATAATTTCGGCTAGTTATTTGTCACAACAAACGTTATGCATTACTATATTTTATTAAAAGATTTCTAGTTTGATTTCTTAGCGGTAATTTATTCTTGACGTAAGCTTTTAGATGATTTCCAAAGGCACAACGTGCAATGCTGTCTTCTTTTTTTCTTCACGGATGGGACCCTTAGTCCTAACACGCGCAGGCTCAACCAAAAACCGCGATTTTGGACTATCTTTCAACAACTTTTAGGAAAGAGTACGCTCTTTATGAGAAGGTTTGAGCAGTATTCCATGTGCGGCCAAACTTGCGCCTTACAGAGCTGAAGGCGATGGGCCGAAGTGAAATACTGCCTCGATCTGTTCAGCACATCAAGCTTCTTTGTGAGGCCAATTTGACCTTACCCTCTAAGTGACACCGAAACTTGACTTCCCTTAATATGTCAATGCCTAGGATTTCGATACTGGCTGAGGCAGTTAGGGAGGTGCTCTCAAACTGTTATGTCTTATTTTTTTCTAGTCGCACCCTATCTGAGACCGCCACTATGCAAGTTTTAATTTCAGGTACAAGTTTCTTTCGACTCTCTATGACGTTTTCACGAGACATACTGGGACTAGGCAACATGTCATTGATATGCATAGTGATAGCACACAGCCTTGCAGGACACCAGCATTTACGGATTTTAAGTCGGAGCATGCACCGTCTTCAACGTCCTTAATACTTCCGTCAGCAAGAAGCTGGTGATCCAGTTCTAGAATAAGCCCATACGCACTGATTTTTTGGATGAACCGGATTGCGAACTCTTTGCATTCAACTCGATTTTGTTTGCCGGATACAGCTCTGGCACCGTCGTATGGACGGCGGTACGTTTCCCCCGTCATTCAAAATCGAGTTGAATGCAAAGAGTTCGCCTAGGAGATAGGCTTTCTCCTTGGCATCATAAGCCAATGCATTATCTCCCCCCTGCAGGGTGGAGGGAATTTAGGGTATACCTGGTTCCCCGGCTATTAGTACCCGAGACGGCGTGCGGTTTTGGTCGGTTCGAGTCCGACATGCCACCGGTGGTATCCGAGGGGATTTCCGCACGGAAAAAAAAAAGGGTCGAAGGGATTGGCTATAGAAATTCCTCTGGACAGCCTTGAGACCAGAATGCATGAGTCCGGTCCGGCTGATGTGCCTGTGTCTGAAGAAATTGGGACATCAAGAGACAGCCATCACAAAAAAAAATATTTTGTGATTAGAGAACCTTTTTCTCCTTATCCTTCCTCCTTTTTCGTAACTTCTACCAGCTTTATACCTATTTTGATTTGATTTAAAATCAGTTAAAAAATCACATCAATATCAGTAGTTACTTGGAACCCTAGATTTCAAGTATTTACTGATAAAATATTTTATTGCGCTTGAGTTGGTTGTATGTTTTGATGAGCATGGAAGGTCAAAATATCAAAATAAATTTTCCCCAGAAAATACTACAAAACCCATTCTTTCTACATTGGTTAAGAGAACCACAAAGTGAAACATAGTATAATATGTCCAACAGCATTTACACCATAAACTTCCATCAAGAGTGACCATAAACAAACTAGAATATGTTATACATCTTTGCATAATTATAAAATTAAAAGGTGTGATTGCTTGAAGGCACTCATCTCCGGCAACAGTTAAAATTTGTAAAATGATATTAACATCATATCCTGGTACTATTTAGTTATTTATGTATTGACAGCCTCCAACAAAAGATGTTAATAAAATCACTTAGTATAAAAAAAAGTTTTTGGATAATGTACTCCATCAATTATAGAAGGCCTTGGGTAATCCAACTACTATTATTAATAAGGAAATTTGGACGGGTGTTTGTTACCAGATCATGCCATTATGGTTGAACCGTTGTGAATAAAATTTAGATAATGGAGTTAGATAATGGAATATTTGGAATAGCACATAGACTCTCTTAATCCTGAAAAAAAATAATTAAAATAAACAAAATCCTCAAAACAACTTAATACATAATCTCATAGGGATTAAGACTTCTAAATTAAAATTTAAAGACAAAACTTAGTAAGTTCTATAATTCTTACATGTGTCAGCATTCTTGATGTGAAGTTATTGACAACTAAAGAAGACTCTGTACTGTAAACTAAACCATTTATTGTAGGTGGGTACTCTTCCAAATACATGTGCTTTATGCAGTGAGTTGATGTCACCAAACTTAATGTAAGAACCAACGTCACACAAATCCCATAATAGATCTGAAACATAAGGTACACACAGGTAAAAAAAAACAATTTTAAGTAACATAAAAATGAGATACACTTTGAGCAAAGATAGAAGTACTAGATATATACATTATTTTAATGGAACACTAAAAAAAAAAACAAAAACAATAATGCACTTATTGTTATTATTCAATTTATTATTGAAAGGAAATAGTGGCAGCAAATATTTTTTTACCTTTTTAGCGAATTTTGAGCAACAAGATCTGGGGCATTTTTTATCTCTTAACTGGCGCTCTTCATCCTGGCTACTAGCAGCTGACTCGCTGTATGCTTGCTGCAGTGATGGCTGGGTAGTTAATGGAGGTGCCGAACATACAGATGCTTGAGGCGTTAGTGGAGCCCGCGGACTCAGTGGCGTTGGTGGAGGGCCATTCGGACGGTCCCTATCGCCATCACCAACACTTCGTTCGCTCTCTACCACTTCTTCACTTGTTATAATTACAGAAGGAGCGCGGACTCGTTTGGGGTTGAAAATAGTCGGCAAATCACCGTCCCGTGCCATAGTGATTAAATTCTAGTTATTAAACATCAGTAAACTGCAGCACAACCAAGAAATGGTACTTCACTTCACTGATATTCATAAGTGAAGAATATCATTTTATCAATTTGTTTATAACTTTGATTGTTATTATTAACGTTCTAAATTTTAACATTTTACACCCATTATTTTTTATTACTCCTTAATTGAAAACATTGTATGGTACAACTACGCGATTTTACTAAGGTCTACAACTAATATTTTCATACATCCCCCTTGTTTTTGGAGACATTTATGTTTTACTTCTTTACGAGGTGTTGGGTATTATACAGTTGGCAACACTTCAAATTATTGTCTATTATTTTAATTGTCTAATGAAGTAAAAGAGCAATTTAAGCATGGCAACATTTTTAAACTGTCAAAATGTGTTTTCCTGTAATTATTGGTTCTCAGACAAGGCCAAAGATCTTACCTTCTATAGTCATTGGTTATGTAAATTATTAGGAGAATGCTGATTGGCTCCTTTCTTGTAGCCATATTCATTTTCCAAAAGGTTTAATTCAGTTTTAAATTGTCTTTAATGTTATTTTATTAACAAATCAAGTTACTTACTTTTACTAAAAATGTACCGAAAAATTTTAATGACTTTCATGACTAAATAATTTTGTTCCACTATTTCATTATATTATCTGTATCACAATGACTTTATCTATGGACGTTGGTGAAACGTGTTTTGTTTTTAATTCCTTATTTTCTACTTCGAATCTGTTGAAAAGGTCCCAACTGAAACAAATCACACTTCTTAACATCACTTCTTTTTTAGTTTTTCTATTACATGTTAGAAAGTTATTTTAAATAGTTCTTAATTGGCATTATCATCATTTTTCCGCAGCCAAAGAAATTACAAATATCGGTCTATGAAATAAGTTTTACATTTTTAATGGTAGATGGCGTATCCGACAACTTCAAAATTGTACCGCCAGAGGGGGATAATTGGTTAGCCTACTTGAAGCATCCGGGAACCTCGCCATAGTAGTAGACATGGCGGGTATCAACCTGGCTAAATGACGAAATAAATTTTGTTTGCTAATATAAGATCGTGTTAATTGCGTAGAAAAAGTGTTGATACTAAAAGACTAATTAAGTTATATTGGATTAGGACAAAGATGCAGAATGTTGGACAGTCTGAAAACCGAAATATCGATAAGGTGAATGTGCAACTTGATGTGGTAAAATCGTCCACTCCTCAAAGTTCGGCTTCGAGTCCGGCCAAATCCGAAACCGAAACGTATTCAGGCGCGCCTGCCAAATACATGACGGACTCTTCGGAAAGCGAGGATGACTCTGTGTCTGAGGTAAAACGTGTTTTGTTTTCGGCAGAGGCGGTGGCAGTGAGGGAATGTGATTATCTGTACCGCTCTAAATACTGCAAGGGACATCTTGTACATGTCTGCTCTAACCGTACAGTTTCTTCTATTACCGAAAATATTCTTCTATCAGCGATATATGCTTGAAATCGTGCGTAGCACGCTGAAACGAACTAATCTATTTTACTTTCTGAATAGAGTACGTCGCTTGCCAAATATTCCGTAAAACGTCAGAAAGTCATAAGTACATACGTACTACTGAGTAATGCATGAAATTATTTATGCCAGCCGCTCCTAGACAGTATTCAATTGATTCTTTGTAATTCTACGATGTAAAAGGGCTAATCTGCCGTAAGATAGTTTTCATTGTCTATTTGTGTTTTGGATATGAATTGATGTGCGGTGGCCATGTTTCTCTGATCACATGCATTCAGTCGATGTAAATCTTCGGATAATGGATTTTCATGACGTTATTTTACTTCGAATGTGCGAATTATATAATTTTCTATTAGATTCGTCATCAGTGTTGTTGATGATGGAATGTTTTGTTTCGTCACATACGGTGATAATACTTCTAGTGATATTCGCGCAAAATCTAGGGTTACTGGTGAATTGCAAGGACCATTGAGTCATGTTTAACTGTAAAATCGTCCTAATGCACCACATTGTCAGTACATCTCACATGTTTCTCATTGGTGTTATAGATCTTGCTGGCTTGTTTGTGCCTTAGCAGGCCAGACCTGTTGGTAAGTCGAAGACAACATTACTGAGTGCCCAAAGCTTCACCAACAACTATAGCTGTTGCAGTTTGAGTGACTCTTACCGTTAACCTGCATAATGTGTGTGCTATGGACAATTACCACATCCTTTTCTCTATGTTGAATGGTCCTTGTGATTCTAACATACTACAAGTGTCTATTGTCTCCATTTGTGTTAATAATACTAATCTGTAACCTAAATGTGGACTGTGGTCTTTAAACTCATATGTATTTAACCTTTCAAAATATTGCTTTTGTTGTTTTAACCAGTGTTTACTTCTGAGTAAACACATTTGTGTATCATAACAACTCCTTGCTGGTGTTAACCTCTAAATATACTCATTTTTTTATTAACTTTTGAACGTAACCTTATTAATAATACATGTAATATGTAACCTTAAAAATTATTGATGTTATTTGAGAATATTTTCAAGTGTAAACAATTAGTAAAAGACCCTTAGTTTGATAAATGATTAGTACCTGTTGTCTCAATGCTTTAGCAAAAATATGACAATTTAATTAGTTACTAGATGCCAGACTACAAATATATTTTTATTGTAACAGGCCGAGATGGAAGAAGAAGGTACTGGTACAGAGCCATCCAAGTTTCTCCTGACCCATGAGGATGCAGACAGAGCTGTCGACCCAGAGATGCAGGCCCGACTCGAAGCTTTGCTTGAAGCGGCTGGTCTGTGTTTTTCTTTTATATTTCTAGACATAAAACTCATAGACATATGATAAACAATTCAATGGTTTATAAGTTTATTTGATTGTAGTAAATTTTATTCAATAAGCTTAGGGATGTTTGTCACATTCTATCACACGATGGACCTGGCACCCGCACGGTGAATCCATGGAATGCTAAAAATGTCCGCTTAATAGCAATAACCCACAATTTAGTGTTACCTGTATATATATAATTAACTGATCACTATTTCACAACTCTCCTTGGTAAATTTGATCAGCATGATCTCAAATGTTTAAATTGTGTTGGTAGGCAAGATTCATCTGTTACATGTGACTATACATTCTGATTAGTTTCTTCAGAGAATATAGGCATCATATATCTTCCTGTACACACATATTAGTTCGGGTTTAGCTTGAAATACTATTATAGCAATCACACATAAACAAAGGAAACAGAGGTCAAGGTTCAAATGGCTTTTATTATTTGTTTTCATGTAGGAGTGACTAACATACAATACAATAATTTCAATACCTATTGTTAAATATAAGATAGAAGATATTAAAAAAAATAGTTGTTAACAAAAATTGAAAATCATGTCTAAATCTAAAAAATAAATCTGAATTATTGAGTCTACAGTAGCAACATATTAAAAACAGTCCAGATTGTAAAGTTTGGTATGTTATTGAATATCTTTGCGTGAAATGAGCTTGCCTTTTCTTAGAAATTTGATTTTATGTTATACAGTCCCCTATATAAAAGAGAGAGAAGTCATACTCCATTAATCATACATCCATCTACTACCTAGTATGTAGAGAGAGAGATACCATGTTCCTATCTACGGTTATTTCTTGATAACTTTTCTACCCAAGTCTCCCATCATATAGGATATTTATCTTAAAAAGAGTTTTCTTTTTCTTGGTGTTTTAATCGGCAATAATCATCAATCATCAAAAGCCTTTAATAGTCCACTGCTGGACATAGGCCTCTCCTTAGGAAGGAGGTTTTGGCCTACTATACCACGCTGGCATAAGTACTGTTTGCATTTTTAATAAGTACCTGTCTATTCAAACTACAAATATTTATTTATTTTTTATATTTAAATGAAACAATGTTGTGCAATAACCAGTTAATCCACAGACTTGTATAATAATATGCCAATTAATTTCCAAAATATCAATATTGATATTCAGAAAAACTTATTTACTTATGATTAAAACAGAATTTCTATCCATTAATTATATATGAAACATGTTTTCCAAGAAAGGTATCAATAATAATAACATGACACATCTCACATCTGATCATGAATTAGGTAGTATCTGTATTATGGTAATACACTGCTGCTTTCTAAGGAGAGGTCTATGTCCAGCAGTGGACTAGTAGAGGCTGTTGATGATGATGATGATGACACTGCTGATAAACACATTATATAAATAATTTTGGTAAAAGTAACACATAAAACTTTTTGTATATTACTAAATATATACATATGCTAGATAAATTGAACCAAGACACTGAACAAATGATTGCTATCATCACACAATTGTTTGTCCTGGGTTCTAATCAAACCTAGGACTACAGACTCAGTAGTCACCAACCAACTAGACTATCACTGACAATCTGTAAAATCTATTTAGCCGTTTATTAGTTAGTTACACATCTTTTTCTAATTCACATAAGTAAACAGGAGTCTGTAGAGAGTGAAATCTTTGTTTTTATTATCCAAATAAGCTTAAAACTAATAATCAAGTTTTTCTATTCGGTTTAAGAGAATTTCATTGCCATATATGCTAATTTATTATCCTATCCCAATTTTAAAGTGTCACTTTATTGTTACTCTACATTCAATCAGGGTTGATTGAACTTTGTATATGAGTTAGCAGTATATCAACAAATAAGCATGTCACATAATGGTATTGATCCGCTCGAAATTTATTTTTAAATATATGTTCATTGAGCTACTTATTTTAAACAATTACTATTTTACAACTTTCATTTGATATTTAACCTCCCTTGAGTTGAAATTTCCTTTTAAAAATAGTACATAACTTGCCAGATAAGACGAATAGGAATTCATTAAATCTGTTCACAAAGACAAAGGAACTTTCTTCTTAAAGTTGATTAATAATTGATGATACCATAATACAGATGATTTTTAATAATATAGATAAATATATATATAGGAAAAAACCTCCTTTCTCAGGAGAGGCTTATGTCCAGCAGTGAACTATTAAAGGCTGTTGATGATGATATAGGAAGACCGGATGGCATAGTGGTTTGTGTAACGGACTGCTATTCCAAAGGTTGCAGGTTCGATTTCCACTCAAGTCAAACATTTGTGTGCAAGAACATTTAATGTTTGATTTGTTCTGGATGGTTTTATGTATAAAATGTATGTATTTACAAAAAAAAGGTATACATATATGTATTTATATCAGTTGTCTAGTAGCCATAGTACAGGCTCTGCTTACTTTAGGTCTAGATTCTAGAAGGTGTTGTGTGAATGTGTGTGTGGTTTATCACAAATATTTTTCTGTGCCTAGGCATCATAGTTGTTTATGTAGCCCCCTCACTATCTGCGATTGTGTAGTGATCTGTAAATAGTTGTTGTGAGTCTGGTTGAAATTTATTAGTTAATTGTATGTTTGTAAACTAACCTGACAGATAAGGTTATGTCTCTAAAGCTGTCGGTTTTTTTCTGACGTCGCTTGTCGCTTTAAAAAAAATGTATAAAGAGTGTATTCTTTATTCAAAAATGACTCATATATTTATACATATTATTTTTTATAGAAAGAGTTAATTCTTAGAACAGATTTTTACCTTAAAGGTTTTTTTTTGTGATACGAACTTTTTGCTGAATGCAAGTTTCAAGTTAAGGATTTTTTTTTGATAATGTAGGTAATAACGTTAACGTTAAACGTTAACCAGCGGGACTAGTTGCGAAGTTATAGATTATACAGTAACGGTTACAGTAACAGTTCTACAATAATATTTTTTTTAATTTGTAGACAGTGAACGAGTTGCTTTGCCTAACACGCTTAAAATTAATATATTAACAACAAACAGGTTTTATTCTTTAAAAGTTGATAAACTGTTGGTCTAGTGGTTAGTGACCCTGACTGCTAAGCCGGAGGTCGTGGGTTCGTTTCCCACCCAGGACAAATATTGTGTGATGAGCACGGTCATTTGTTCTGTGTCTGGGTGTAATTTATCTATAATATGTATGTATTTAGAAATATATAAGTATGTTTATCAGCAGTCTGGTTACCATAGCACAGGCTCTGCCTAGTTTGGGATCAGACGGTCATGTGTGAGATGTGTGAGATATATATATATATATATAAATCAGCCTATCCTAATAAAAGTTGCAAAGTACACGCTATTATTTATAAGCTCTGAGCTCGTGACGTATTAGCGATCTGATGCTCAATGAATGATGAAAACTAATTTAATTACAACTTTGTAAGCAGCAGCTCACACCATAATACTGCCATTTTCTTTTAAAATTAAAACTAGGGTCTTAGTTTAATATTATAGAAGTCGTAGTGTAGTGCCGATTATCATCATAGTTCAGAGAAACTTATGATCATTAGAAAGGCCATGTTTCTATATCGGAAGATAAAAGGTTTGTAATCTGTCAATGACACGTCAGGTTGTCTGTAGGTCAGAAAAATGCGAAATTGACAAAATAATATCAAAACAACACAAAATATCGAATTGTTTTTTACTTAAGTTTAGTAGTTGAGTAAATTGCTATGTAACATAGTGTAGACTTTTCCCACTATTTTGTTCTCACTACGGCATTCATTCTAGTATTCAGGAGTATTAATTTTTTTATTGAATTCGTATATTTAACTCAAGGTGAAAATATTTGCCTTATATTTCTAAATTAATACTAATATATTTCTAAATTTATAAATATTGTAGATAAATTACATCCAGACATAGAACAACTGATGCTCTTCACACAATTTTTTGTCGCGGATGGGAATCGAACCCACTACCTTTGGTTTAGCAGTTAGTATCAGCAACCACTAGACCTACAGCCCCATCAATAATTAAAAAGTAATAGATTCAAGGAATTAGGAAGTTAGTATTTTTCTACCTACCATTCGATTATTGAACCTGTCTAATACAGCTGTTTTAATGTTGACATACTTGTGACGTAGTTCACCTGAACAGACGCATGTAAATTAACGTTTTTAAATTTTACTTGACGCATTTCTCAGAGGTGTAACGTAACAAAAGACATTAAAATATCGTGATATACCGCAAGTGCATTTATGATAACCCTATGTTATGAACAGCGTACGCCACAGTTTTTTTTTCTCACGGCCTATGACGCAACATGATCGTGTTTGAATTGGAAATGACATTTATCAATGTGAAAGAAAATATTATATGCTTGTTTGCATGCATAGCAATTTTTTTGTGTGTAGTTGTTGAACAACCATTCCTAAACCCCTATTAGTTGGTAATTAGCTACAATACCACACATGGCTCGATGACGTCATGAAATGCAATGCAATATTTATTTGTAATATGTATTTAAAAATTAAAAATCACTACAAAATATTTTGTTAATGATTTTAATATTGATGTACTAAAGAGTTTCTTGCAAAGACAATGATTTACTGACTGACCTCGAGATTGCTTTATAGAAATATAAAAAAGCTCTTAAAAAGTTTATTTTTGTGTAGTCTTGTGACAAATATACAATATAGCATTGATAGAAAAAAAATACTCAAACAAACGCAATTACATTTTTATTATTTACTATCTTGTACCCGCGACTTTATTCGCGTGGAATTTGAATTGAAAATGTTATTAGGCCTCGGGGGCGAAGCCCGGACTGGGCACAATTTTATAGGGTTTTCCTGAGAGGGTAAATAGCCTAAGTTACTCCTTATATATACCTGGTAGTAAAATATTATCAAAATCGGTCCAGCTGTATTGAAGATTACCCGAAACAAACAGATAGACAGACAGATAAAAAATAT